ATGTGTCAAAACCCCACTCACAGGAGGCGCTGAGAGTGTTTTAGAGGCCCGGGGAGATGAGTGTTTCTGCTGCAATAACACTAATGGCTGTAGAAAAAGCATTTCCGTGCCTAAAGCAGTCCCTCCCGGGCTGTCTTGCTCAGCTTCCTATCTCCCTTTGTGGGTTCCAGCTCTCTTCCCTTTTGTTTTTCTTGGTTCTCTACTCTGCTTTTTCCCTACTCCTACAGTTCTTAAGAAAATTCCCAATGGCATAATCCAGCTACTTCCTTACACTGAGCTGTATTTTCAGGATCTTAACTTCTGCCCAAGCATTTGTCTGAAGGTGTTTTACTACATACACACTTGGCCACTTCCTGAAAAGATAGGCCAGTGGTGTCAATCATACAGTATGGGCTGTCTGTTTGCATGGGACCTGAGAGTCATAGACATTTATCAATGACTATTGGTTAATCATGTGCTCTTGGGGATGGGTAGGTGACCAGGCCCACTGGTCATCTGTGTTCAACCATCATTACGTTCAAGGTTCTTAGTCTCCTAAGAGAGACAGAACTCAATTATCAGTGTTGTGGACCAGTCTGTCAGAGGTATCATCTCCAGTGGATAATTGGAGCAAGCCCACCAGAAGCTTTGATTAGGGTTTCAGGAAATTTTTTAAGAAGGGGAACAGTTGTTAGCTAGACCTAAACATGCTGGAAACAAAGCAGTGGGAGAGAATCCCCAGTGTAGAGTTCAGAGAGTAGACAGAATCTTGGAGACATTCTGATAAGCAGACATCAAAAGTCAGTATGGATTTGGGGAGTAAAAGGAGTGGAGAAATAGTTTCCTATGGTGGTTGTGTGTGTTCGTGCATATGGATACACATCTGTGTGAGTACACACGTGTGCAAGGAAGTGTGGAAGCAGAGCCTAACCCCAGGCATCATTCCTCAGGCAGTGACAGGGTTCTCACAGGCTTGCAGCTTTCTGCATGGGCTGGACTTCCTGGCCAGCAAGGCCTGGTTTGCCTGTCTCCACCTCCCCAGTGCTGGGAAAGCAGGAGCATAGGTACCTACCCCTGGCTTTCCTAAAACATGGGTTCTAGGGCTTGAACTCAGGTCCTCATTTGTACAGCAAGCACTTTACTGACTTAGATATCTCCCTAGCCTGATGCTTGAAGTTTCTGTAGGGTGTCTAAGGAGCCTGAAAGGTCCCATCCCATCCACACAACAAGAGAAAAGCCCAACACACTGCAAATTATTAAGTCTTCAGCCAACCAATCAACCAGTCAACCAATCAGTCAATCAAAGGACAGAGGTCACAGGAAAACACACTACCTCCCACCTCTGAAATTAGAAAGACAGAGAGAAATATGAGTTATGGGAGCAGAAATCCTGGACCAGAAGTCTCCATGGCAACCGTTATGGGGTTTCTTTGACCCAGTACAGTATGCCTGTCTTTCAACAAAAAGTACAGGGTGCACTAGGAGACACAAAAGGACACTGGAGAAGCTGGAGCAAGCGTCACAATGATTTGATGTGGCTCTGTTGGGCCGAGTGGAAGGAGTCCAGAGACAGCCTGGTGAGGGCTGGGTGGTGAGGGCTGGGAGAGGGATGGAGCGCAGCTGTTTGGGAACGTGCCTCTGGGAGGTCTGTCTCTTTGCTCCACTGGGATTCCCTCAAACTCTGTCCTCACACAATGCCCGAGGCTGGCCGCTGCAGCTCCTACAAACGCCCAGGTGAAGGTGGACACCACCAGGGGTGTCAGAAAGGCCTGCTGGGCTTGCCTTGGGCTGAGATCTGGCTTCTAAGATTGAGGGTAGGAAAGGAGGATGGTGATGGACGCATAAGCAATGACGTATTGCTTTAGGGGAACACGATTAGAACTGATCATTGTTCCCACTTCCTTCCTTTGTCCTGTCACTCAACGCTGACCTCTGGTCCGTGCTGACTCAGTCACCTATTCTCTTAGCAGCTGTGATGAGCGTTACCACCAACACAGACAATGGTAGGAAGCTGGTGTGGGGGCCTTACAGGCGAATGGACAGGTCCATGGGGGAGCGGAGGAGGCAGCTGATGGTCGGGTGGGCGTTGGAGGAGTCCCGTTCTCTTACCTTGGAGGGGAAGTTGCTTTTTAGACCCAGTCCCACTGTGCTGACGTCAGAATTTGTCATCTGTGACCATAGTAATGGTGGACACATGCCAGATGGTGGGCCCTGGCACAGTGAGTGTCACCCCCAGACACGTGGCAAGGCGATCACGGTGACAACAGTGACTGTCAACCTGACAGAGTCACCCAGAAGACAAGCCTCTGGCATGATTGTGAGTTTCTAGATTGGATGAATTGAGGTGAGCTTACCTGAATGTGAGCTGCACTGTTCCATGGAGTCCCACACTCAATGAAAAAAGCCAGAGTGAGCCGGACACTGGCATCCCCTCTCTACTTCCTGATTGCAGGTGCGGTGTGACCAGCCACCTCGGATGCTGGTGCCCTGGCTTCCAATGGACTGTACCTTCAAGTTACAAGCTGCAATTAAGCCTCCCTTTCAACTTTGTCAGGCATTTTGCTGTAGTAAAGTAACTAATACAGGGGCGCTCTTCAGAGGTTGGCTCTGACTTAATCTCCCATGCCACAGAGAATTAATAGAGTTTTAATCCCTGGAGCAGGAATTTTCCACAGGAAGCCCACAAACCTTCTCGTGTGTCAACCACTCCATGCAAGGCAGCAGGCAGAGCCCTTTATGGATTTAGAGTTTGGCCATCAGCAAGTCAGTTGAAGGGGCCGCTGAGCCCGGCACCCACCACAATGAGATGAGTTATGTGTCCGGAACAGGCGGGTGAGAGTCACAGCAAATGCAGCCGTGGAGGCTGCACAGCCACCAGCAGAGAGGCCAGAGGTTGGTGCCGACGGCCTTTCTGAAGTTACTCACCTATCTGTATTTCTCAAATTCTGGATAAGTGAGTTTGACTTTGGGGTGACATGAATCTACCACTGACTAGATGTGTGAGCCTCAGAAAAATCATATGTACTTTCCAAGTTCAGTTCCTCCCTGTGTGATGAGGTCAGAGGCAGCTCGTTCCAGGGGTCACTGTGAAGATTCTTGCCCTGGTCTGATGACTACCTCTACCAGCACCGGGCAAGGCTGCTCCCGCCTAATGGTCTGTTGAATCCCCATATCCACACTGGGAGCAGGCTCAGTGCTAACCGTTTTGACAGACATGGAAACTGAGGCACATGCCTCGTGAGTAGTTTGTCCCGGGTGGCTGGTGTAATGAAGGAACCCTGTGCCATGCCCCTTTGGAGGCTGAGGCCCCTGAGGTCTGGACAGTGACATTTGGAACTGAGCTGAAATGCATTTGATTCATTTTTCTCAGTGTGTGTGTGATCTAGGCCCTGACAGGGAGTCAGTCCTCCAAACATTGGTGGCCAGTGTCAGCACTGTGAGGTGGGACCTGCTGTCTAGGGGTCTGAGAGCGGAACTGGGCTTGTGTGTCCCTGCAGGCAAGTGACACCAGGGAGATGCAGGAGCCCTTAGTACCACGGGCAGCTGGGGCGAGTCTCACTCCTTGGGCTGGACAGAGTTTTTGAGACTGAATACTATTTCTTCATTTCTGTATGAGACCGGCTTAGACTGATCAGTTTCTCAAGGCTGAATTGCAGCGGGGAGAAATAGAAATCAGGAGAACACATCCCACAGAGATCAGGGATCCCGGCTCTGATCCCATTACCCCTCTGATACACCTTGGAGAGAGGGAGCAAAGGCCATTTCTGTGCACAGTTCAGGAGGACAGCTCTGAAGTTGACTGTGGCCTTTTTGACTCAAACAAAACAGAAGCCTCAACCACTTCTTCCCTCACGGGTCCCAAGCGGTGGCAATGAAAACCACAGAGACAGAGACAGTCTCCAGAAAGATCGGTGGTTTCTGCAGTGACACCAACACCCACGTCACAGCAAACTGGGTACGTCTGGGGAGTCTGAGGCAAATAGGGAGGGTCACACAAGCAGTTTGTAAATTAAAAGTCAGTCATCAGTGATGGGATCAGCAACAGGGGTGAGGGGCAGTTCACAGCTGGACAGGCAGTGTCCTTGCAGAAATATTTTCTGTGTGAGATCATGGCGACTTCTGGGTGAGGTAGGGATCCCATGATAGCTCCCATCCTCAGGTGCATGTTTGTGAGAGGTTTTCCACTAGCTCTGTGCTGGATAGTGTGTTCACTGTCAGCTTGACACCACCCAGAATCCTAGGGGAAGAGTGTCTTCTTGAAGTATTATCTAGATCAGGCTGGCCTCTGGACATGTCTCTGGAGGATTATTTTGATTGTTAATTGATATACGTAGACCCAACCCATGGTGGGCAGCACCATTCCCTGGGCAAGGGATCCAGAATAGTATAAAAGAAGAGAAGAGAGCCGAGCAGGTCCGTGGGTCTATTCTCTCTGCCCCTGACAAGGTGACTAGTTGACTTCCCTGTGCGGGTGGACTATAACCTGGAATTGTAAGTCAAATAAACCTTTTCTCCAGTAAATTGATTTAAAAAATGTTAAGATCACAGCAATAGAAATGCAGCTGGAGCCGGGCGGTGGTGGCGCACGCCTTTAATCCCAGCACTCGGGAGGCAGAGGCAGGGTGATCTCTGTGAGTTCGAGGCCACCCTGGTCTCCAAAGTGAGTTCCAGGAAAGGCGCAAAGCTACACAGAGAAACAGCTGGATTAACACCTCCCAGGAGTTTGTGGATTCTTGTTGTTGGGGTTTGTGACCAGTGATTTCATTTTGATTTTGGTATCGTTCAGTGGAACTCTCCCAGCCCAGACACATGACCTGTTTGTCGAGGACTGAGCTGAGTAGAGGTCAAGGCCGGTGCCGTTCTAGAGTCTGCTCTGCCAAACTCAAGTTCACACAAGAGCTCCGGCTGGTTTCTCCAGAGATGACAGGAGTTTGAGGCAGACGGGAGATAGGCTGCTCCCCCTCTTAGGTGTGAAGGTGTGTGTGGTTGGGGCCTCATGTCATGCCCGTCTCCTCACACAGGTCATCTGATGTCTCAAGCCTTGGTGCGCTCATCAACCAGGAGGAACAAAGACCATGGCTTCAGCCACTATCATCAAGCTTCAGTGGTATGAGATAATGCCATGCTTCCTGTTTTGCTAGGCAGTTGGGGGCACTTAAGCTACCAGCTCAACTCTATTTTTTTTTTTTTATTTCCTACCTTAAGTGATGTCATGCTTGTGTGTGTCTCTGTAAACCAAACAGGGAAGCCCGAGGCTGAGACTGACCACACTTGCCTCACACTCCCGCCCTCATTGTGGCTTTATCTGGCTTCTGTGAGGCCAGCTCCCTTCTCTCTGCTCAGCCTGAGGCCTAAGGCTGCTTAACCACACAATTAGAAGGCTAGTTTTATGGGGAATCTCAGACGGCTAACTCACTTTGGCTAGTTAGAGCAGAGTGAAGCTGGCATTTGGCTCTTGGACAAGTTTAGGATGCTGGAATCCACTGTGCTCTTCATTTCTTTATGGGATAAGCTAAATTTCCAGGCGTGACAGGGAGTGCCTATAGTTCCAACTCTTTGGGAGGCTGAGATGAGAGAATGCACCCAATTCAAGTTACTGGCTAGTGAGACTCCCTCTTTAAAAAAAATCATATCAAGCTGGAATAGGGGCTCCTAGCTTTGCACAGTTGACATTTGGTGCTGGAAATGTCTTTGAGGTATGGACAGTCCTGGGTGTTGTAAGCTGTTCGGCAGACACAGGGCCATTACCCTCTAGAGGCCGATCCATCACCTCTCCCCGACTTGTGACGACTGAGAAAAGTCTAGGCTGGGGTAAGGGGGAAAGTGGACAGCGATGACTCTTCTGTTGCTGGTCTCAAGAGTGGAGAGACTTGCGGTGTGCTTCCCCCAGCCTCCGGCCTGCAGGCCCTAGAAGGAGCCTAGCTTCTCCTTCCAGCTTCCCCCACAGAGCTGGAAGACGGGTGTAGTTATCAGACAAGAGAGGTTTAGTTTGCACATCAGGTAAGTCGGCCACAAGGATGTCGCGTTTCAGACCTACAAACACAGCCGGATACCTTCATCTTCCTAGGAGTGAGAAAGTCAACTTGAAATCTCATCCTGTTATCTCTGTGATCTTGGGAGGTAGAAATGAAAGCCGGGCTGTGTGTTAGAAGGTCACATGCAAACCAGAGTCCCTCATTTCCTGTATGGTCTGCCTTCCTTCAATCTACCACAGAAGTTCTATGGCTTACTAGCTGTCAGGGATCCTGTGAAAGTCACCCTGTTCTCAGCCTCAGCTTCCTTCTTCCTAAAAATGAGGAGCATAATAACCCTCTACGGTTAAGTCCTTGTACAGATTAAAGAAGGCTCAGTGGTTGCTATGGTAACCACCCTAGCTAAAATGCCTCCGCCGTTATCATCATCATCAGTAGTGGGAGGTTCTGCACTCATGTGCTGTCATGAGCCCAGGGACCTGTGGCCAGAGCTGAAATTCTAGAACAATCTTTCAGGTCTTTGAAGGTGGTAAGAAATTGCCACTTGAGCTGGAGAAGAGGAATTATTACTGTTTTGTTCAAGTGTTTGCCTGGCAACTGTCGATGAACTTTCTTATTGCATACCAAGTGGTCACCCCTGAAGTCCTATCCATCATACGAGTCACACTAAATGGACTGAGAATATATATGGAGGGAGGGAAGGGAAGGAGGAAATGACAATTTTAATAATAAAAAAAGTTCTTCTGAGGCAGGAGCAAAGACACGCTTGTCAGCTTTGAGAAATTCAGATGAATGATTTTCACAAAAGACTCCAGGACTAGTCAGGACCTGCTGCTGGAACAATCCTGACATCTCAGTCTACTGCAGGTCAGTGGGGTAGAACTCTGCTGTGACCATCATGGTCCTGGCTTCACTCTTGGACATTTGCTGGGTGCCAGGGGTAGGGACGGGAGCTAGAGAACTCTCCTGGTGTCATTTCACTGTCTCTGCTAAAAAGCACCCAAGGTCACTTCTGTTTGTCACTTGGCTGGGAACCATGGGCTCCATTTGCCCAGAAAGAAGAGAGGTGTGGCCCAGTGAGCACCCCAATCTGCACCCCAGGGTCAGACTACAGGCAGGGCAGAGGTCATCTGCACACCAGGCTTTGTGAGGAACAAAAGCAGATGAATGCTTTCCTAAGGGGCCACAGGAGCCACGAGAGCCACGAGAGCCACGGGAGCCATGGGGCCACAGGAGCCACACAGGGCACGGGAGCCACGGGGCCACAGGAGCCACGGGACCACGGGAGCCACAGGAGCCACACAGGGCACAGGAGCCACAGGAGCCACAGGGGCCACAGGAGCCACAGGAGCCACGGGAGCCATGGGAGCCATGGGGCCACAGGAGCCACAGGGGCACGGGAGCCACGGGACCACAGGAGCCACAGGAGCCACACAGGGCACAGGAGCCACAGGGGCCATGGGAGCCACGGGACCACAGGAGCCACAGGAGCCACACAGGGCACAGGAGCCACAGGAGCCACAGAAGCCACAGGGGCCATAGGAGTCACAGGAGCCACAGGGCCACAGGAGCCACAGGGGCCATGGGAGCCATGGGAGCCATGGGGGCCACGGGAGCCACAGGGGCCACAGGAGCCACGGGAGCCACAGGGGCCACAGGGGCCATGGGAGCCACAGGGGCCATAGGGGCCACAGGAGCCACAGGAGCCACAGGGGCCACTGGAGCCACAGGAGCCACAGGGGCCACAGGAGCCACAGGAGCCACAGGACTCACAGGAGCCACAGGGGCCACAGGAGCCACAGGAGCCACAGGAGC